AGACCGATTTCCCTTCTGAGCCGCGTCTACGTGCTGTTTTCGAGAAGCATGACGAATCGTCTCGCGCGCAGACTTGACGACTTCCAGCCTCCCGAACAAGCCGGTTTCCGAAAGGGCTTTAGCACCATAGACCGCATACATACCCTTCGGCAAGTTTTACAGAAGTCCGAGGAGTACAATTTGCCACTATACCTGGCGTATGTGGACTATGAGAAAGCCTTTGATTCCGTCGAAATTTGGGCGGTGCTGCAGTCCCTTCAGCGGTGCCAAGTTGACTGTCGGTATATCGAAGTGCTGAAGTGCTTGTACAGTAGGGCTACGATGGCTATCCGAGTACAAAACCAGAGTACGAAACCTATCCAATTGCAGAGAGGTGTAAGACAGGGTGACGTTATATCCCCGAAACTCTTCACCGCTGCATTGGAAGATGTTTTCAAGCTTCTGGACTGGAAAGGATACGGTATTAACATCAATGGTGAGTACATCACTCACCTTCGATATGCCGACGATATAGTCCTTATGGCAGAATCGCTGGAGGGTCTAAGCACCATGCTCAATGACCTCAATAGTGTCTCGCAACGGATAGGTCTTAAGATGAACATGGACAAAACAAAGATCATGTTCAATGTCCATGTCACACCTATGCCGGTAGTTGTTGGGAGCACTAAGCTCGAAGTTGTTGACGAGTATGTTTACCTGGGACAAATAGTCCGACTAAGTAAGTCCAACTTCGACCGAGAGGTCAATCGACGGATTCAACTCGGCTGGGCAGCGTTCGGGAAACTACGACACATCTTCTCGTCAGACATTCCTCAAAACCTTAAAACGAAATTATACAACCAGTGGGTGTTGCCAGTGATGACTTACGGATCTGAGACGTGGTCCTTCACTGCTGGCCGTATGAGGAAGCTCAAGGTCGCTCAGCGAGCTATGGAGAGGGCTATGCTCGGAGTTTCTCTGCGTGATAAACTTAGAAATGAGGATATCCTCAGTAGAATCAGACTGACCGACATAGCCCAACGGATTAGTAAGCTGAAGTGGCAGTGGGCCGGCCATATAGCTCGAAGAACCGACAACCGATGGGGAAGAAAGGTTCTTGAGTGGCAGCCTAGTACCGGTAGGCGAAGTGTAGGGCGACCCCCCACGAGATGGAGTGACGACCTGGTAAGACATGCAGGAAGTCGATGGATGCAGGTGGCTCAGGACCGTGCTTTGTGGCATTCCTTGGGGGAGGCCTATGTTCAGCAGTGGACTTATGAAAGGCTGTAATGATGATGATGATTTTTTTGTTGTTTTTTGTGCCATTGTTCTTTGTTTTGTCGGTTTATTTCAGTCTCGGTCGATATTCAGACTGTTTGGTGAGAGCTGTGATAATATATTATGCAATAAACTATTGGTAAATTCAATTGGTCAGACCTTAATCAATTTATATGGGACCACATGTGAAGCACCAGCTTTCAAATAAAAAAGAATCATCGAAATCGGTTCACCTAGTAAAAAGTTATGAGGTAACAAAAAAAAACATAGTCGAATTGAGAACCGTCTCTTTTTTAAAGTCGGTAGAAAATTCGTTAAACATGATTATACGTAAATTTTTTAAAGTAGTTTAAATACACAAGTTTTCACTAATAACTTTATTACTATACTTCCAATTTTCCGATTATTTATGTTAAACTTCAATAAAAAAAAGTTTGGAAAATCCAAAAGTGCAAAACACATACGATAGTAAAAAAAAATTAAAAAATGTAAATTGTAGTTCTATTCGTCAAAGAGTTCCAGTAGCAGTCACCGAAGTACACCTTCAAGTCGGGGTAAGGTCTCATCATAACTAACATAACGAGCACAATCTCGGCACACCTAATTCTATTCTCGAGAAGTTCCAGTAGCAGATATCGAAGTACACCTTCAGGTCTCCATAAAGTCCAAGACGTATAAGTATATAAATCTTGCGTACTTTTAGCGAAACAAAATTTTGTAATAAAGATATGTGATTATAAAAATAATAATAATATCTTACCTTGGTGAAGTATGTATCAAATTTGGTTTTTCGGATCGATCTATATTTTTCAGCACGAACCGCTGTAAACAAGCGACCACTTACGACGGCGGCTGAGCCCGGAGTAAAAAATTATTCCGTGGCCGGGATTGAGGCAAAGTGTATTTAGTAAAATAAATTAATACAAGTACAAGGCTGCTAAAAACACAGAAAATTCTGCTATTTCTCAGCCGAAAAAAAATTATAACTAAACAAAACAAAATTAAACTGCCATTTACATTCCATGGCTTCCCACATGATAGATGAAGATTTTAAAAAATAGATTGAGTTGAACAATTAATATTTTCAAGTTATTGTGTTTACGCCTCCATGCGGACTTGATAAATCTACATGCCACTAAAACCATTTTTTTATGTAAAAATAGCAATTAACTGATTTAAAAAAAAATAAGTTCAGCAATCATTTATATCTTTCTGGCAATGTGCTTTTTATGTCATTTATATGTTCAATATGATTGTTAGATACAGAAAATGTTGGAATCTTGATTTTTAGGCGCTAGTAGAACTTACCTACACGCTTTGCGCTTAAGGCATGCAATATTCTAATAAATGCTAGTATCCTGTATTTACTTACGTTAGATCATAACTTATTTAATACTATCTCCCATGCTTTTCATGTAGGAGTTATTTTCATCTCCATTTACTCAAGGACTATATGGCACATTGTGCCATATCTCGTAGTCCTTGATTAATGGTATTTACGTATAAACACAGACAAACCTGAGACGTGACGAAATTATAAAAGGTTTTCTTGTTTGTCTACAGAACTCTGAAATGGTCTTTTTTTAAAGTATACTTTATACTATTTGATTATTAAAATGCCAGAAAATATGACAAACTTTAAATCGCCTCAACCAGCCTGTCCCGCGGTCCCAAACACGTCTGGAAGGCTTGGTCTTTAGGGTAAATCTTTTTCAAGTTCAGAGTACTGCAGGCTGCCCGTGAAATACCACTGCAGAATATATTTAAAAAGATAATTTTATAGCCTTACAGTAAAAAAATAAATTAGCTAGACCTAATTTTTATTTTGGGTGTCGTAACCTTTTATCTATTACAAGCATCGATCACTAATAAAAACTAGACACACAATCAGTGACAAAAAATGTCCTTACCGAATGAGCGCCCACTCGAACATTTGGGTGCGCTTTTAATTTGTACATAGACTTGTAAATACAATTACCTACTTTAGGCAATGCATTTAAGGTTGAATTTACATTAACGTATATTTATTTCAACTAGAATTACGTCAAAACAATTGGTGACAGTTTTTGGAGTACTTTTGCATGGGATTTTGTATGTGTAGTTTTCCATTAGTGATCGATGATTACGAGCCATTTTTATGAGTATCACACTTGACGATAATGGTGGTGTTAGATATCCACACTATCAGACAGACAGACTGGCAAGTTATTCTATTGATATGTTTTATCTATGAATGACGAAGCAAACAGTTTTGCACAAATTTATTAGGGTCCCGTACCCGAAGGGTAACCAACGGGACCCTACTACTAAGCATCCACGTCCGTCCGTTCGTCTGGGTCAGCGGGCTGCATCTCATGATCCTTAGACAGTTGAAATTTTTACAGAATGTGTTTTTCTGTTGCCGCTATAACAGCAAATACTAAAAAAAATCAAAGGGCTTTCCTACTAGAAACTTGTTTTACGACGGTTCGGAACCCTTCATGCGCGAGTCCGATTCACACTTGGCTGGTTATTTAGAGTATGCGCTATATCGGTATTTACCAGATGGCAGGACTTCTTTTTTGTTAAGGGATCTGTCTGGGTAGGTAGGTACCACTCACTTACCTATTTCTGTCGCCAAGCAGTATAGTGCTTGCGCTGCGTTCAATCAATCATCAATTTTTCAAAAAAATTACAGGAGAGCAAGAAAACATTTATTATTCCCCGATTACTAGCTTTTTTCATCAGAAAATTAAATATATTAGACTTAATGGAAAACTACAAATAAGAATAATTTTCTGATGAAAAAAAGCTAGTAATCAGGGAATAATAAATGCTTTCTTGGTCTCCTGTAATTTTTTGATAAATTGTGGTTTGCCTTTTTGTGGCGTCAACGACGAATTAATGTCTTGATTTTCTATTATATTCTAACACTAGCTGTTCCCCGCGACTTCGCTCGCGTGTTACGGTTTTTATGTTTTTGCGTGGAACCCTAATTCGTTTTCTAAAATAAAAGTAGCCTAAGTTACTCCTTATGAAATCAGCTACCTGCCAGTGAAAGTCCCGTCAAAATCGGTCTAGCCGCTTCGGAGATTAGCTGGAACAAACAGACAGACAGACAAAAATTTTAAAAATTGTGTTTTTGTTATAAGTACCGTATTTGCTTTCATATTCATTTTGTAATAAACTGTAATTTTGATATTACAAACAGACACTTCAATTTTATTTATTTGTATAGATAATCTGTCTGAAGATATTTGTACGCCGGAGACGGCAGAGTATATAGGATCCGAATTATTTTGTAACAACTTAAATGCACCATATTCTAACAAATAAATCATCTTATCATTATCTTATCTAGAATACCGAGAGACTGACTGATTTCCTCCTGCGCTCGAGATTGCAACAACTCCGTGGTGCAGTTTCTTAGCATTGAGTTGCCGCGCTGAGATCCGCGGGGTTGAACCTCGCACGGAAGAGATTGAATCCCGCACGGAAGGGATTGAATCCCGCACGGAACAAGTACTTATTTGTATGGGCTACAGCTATGGGTTCAGGTTCTGGGTGTTGTCCAATTGCAATTTATGTAACGATACAGTAGTAATTCCTAGTGTGAAAGTAAAGTTAATAAAAGAACAAAGACTGGCAAGTTTGTCTTTAACTAAATCGAGGTCTACAATAAGTTATAGCATGTCTGCACTGACCTACACAATATACGAGATAGGGAACATTTTAAAAACATTAACAATATTTTCAATAAAGAAATGAATGTTGTGTCAACAGTATTCCCTTCGTTGGAGAACTTCGAAATAAACGCGACACTGGTAGAGGAAAATAAATATCCGTGGATAGCTCGCGTGGTGCATTCCCGGACCTCCAACACCCCCGTCGTTTGCACGGCTGTTTGTGTCGACAGGAGGATATTTATAACGGCAGCTGTATGCATTTCTACGTACGTACACTGGTTATATAATTACTACTGACTATTCTATAATTTGTTTTCCGCCAAGTAGTAGGGCGTGCACTGTTGAGTTTCGGTCTAAACGCTATGAAGAGCCATTATTTACTAGAATTTTACAGGCCATACCATCTAAGTCTTCAGAAGTAGCAAAGCATCTGAAGCCTTTTTTTGCTTGAAATTGGATACAGGTGACCATGGACTGCAGTAGCCACTTACCACTTACCGACTGTGAGTAAATTTGTCACTTTTTTTATAGAATAAGGGTGACAAACGAGCACACAGTCCACCTGATGGTAAGTGGTTGCTGCGGCCCATAGACATTTACATCTATCCTCTATTACAAATCAAAATGTAGATGTGTTGTCACCCGTGAGGACTAAGATGGAATGCCTCATTTCCAGTAAAAAGGGCCTCCGGCCACCTGCACTAACCAAGCGAAACGCTGAGGTAAATCTCTACTTCACGCTGGTTTTCTGTGAGGTCGTGGTACCACCCCGGTTCGAGTCGGCCCATCCGTGCGACAGCAAAAGCTGCCGCGTGGCTCTACCACTGTTAAATGTCACTTATTTATTTTTAAAAAAAATGGTGACAAGTGTTATATTAATAGATGTCATATGAGTAGATATTGTTAACTTTGCCCATGCTGTACATGGTAGAGCCATGCTATATTACTGGTATAGCTGGAGCACGAACGGGTCCGCTCGACCGGGGAAGGGTGGCGCTCTCACTGAATACCAACGTAAAATAGCAACTTAACGCTGCTGTGTTTCGTATGGTGAGTGTAGAGAAACGGAGACCATTTTTAAGCCGGTGCCAGATACAGCTTTAAACATTTGAACACTTGTTTGAAGCTATGTGTGGCACGGGACTTTAAATCAATGTTCAAATATGTGCGCATAGAAATGTACTTTGCCAAGCGGTTTCGGTTTTTCAGCGCACATCAAAGTGTTCAAAGTCGACAGTGTTCAAATGTTTGCGTTGCCTGCCGCACTTGCGCAAAGTTTAATCGTAAAAAATTACATTAAGTAATATTCTCTTTGTATTGTAACTATGTAATATAAGTATATTGACAACAAATCCATTCGCGCTTGCTTTATGGCCTTTTTAATGGTATTTTTTCGCACATGTAATAAATAATGACATGCACTTAAATAATACAGTCACACTGCATCCACAAAATCGTCGTTCATCTTGTTTGTGGTTTATCAACGTACTGTGGATAGATGTGTTTACATAGCATGTCTGGCAGGTTGCGCCAATATGTGTTCAAACAAGTGTTCAAAGTCCTTTCAAAAAGTGTTCAAATGGTGTTGCTATATCTGGCACCGGCTATACTAGAAACAAGGCATTTCATCTTAGTCCTCAAGGGTGATAACGCATCTGCATTTTGAGTTAATTGATGATAAATATAAATATGTCTATAGACCACAGAATCCACTTACCATCAGGTGGACTGCATGCTCGTTTGTCATCCTTATCCTATAAAAAAGAAATAATTGACTTTGCCACTTTACAGACTAAAAGTATATTATACGACAGTCATATATCAATATGGATGGCTACCCGCCATGGCCTTCGTCGTACCAGCTAATGGTTCAAAACAAGGTTTTGACGACATCGGCTTTATAATCGTCGAGGCAGATGAATCGACCAGGTGGCACACAATAGAACTCTTCGGTACCAATCGCACCGATGAGGCGTTTAAATGGTTTTCGGATTTGTTTCATACGGACAAAATAACGCATAAAGTTGTCGGATTCGCTGTTCCAAAGGTAGCTCTTCATAATTTGGATGTAGGTACGTCAGTTCAACTGATCAGTTTAACTGACCGTGTGTGTAGAGCTTTAGCTTGCAATATTTACTTAAATCTCCATGCGAATTAATATTCAAAGTACCTACTTATCATACACTCACATTTAAGACGCTGCTTCCTTTCACCTGCCTTTGAGTCTGTCATTTTGAGGTAGATATTTCGTCATCTATTAAATGCCCTTTTGATGGATGATTGTATCTCATTCAATACCATCTCGCATATTTTTCTGCCGACTTTCAAAAAGGAGACGGTACTCAATTCGACTGTTTTTTTTAATGTGTGTTACGTCATAACTTTTTACTGGGTGAACCGATTTCGATGATTCTTTTTTTATTTGAAAACTTCTCTTGTGGTCCCATATGAATTTGATCAAGGTCAGACCAATAGTTTATGAGTTATTCTTAACAACTTATATTGAAGTCGCCAGTAAAAACAAACATACAGTCGAATTAAGTACCGTCTCCTTTTTGGAAGTCGGCAGAAAATCGGTTAAAAATGCATCACCACGCATTTTGCAATTAAAAGATAAAAAGGACAGAATGTTTGAGATTTTTATTTTTAATACTTTTTTCTTCAACATTTGTCTATATTATCCTGAACCTTCTCTGCAAATTTGGCCGGTTATTGCAAAATAAGCCTGTATTATGGCGTCTTACTGCTGCTGTGTTTCGTATGGTGAGAATAGAGAACTGGAGACCCTTTATTACTGGAAATAAGGCAATCTTAGTCCTCGGGGACGGCAACGCATTTTCATTTTGATTCTTAATCGAGGATAAATTTAGGTGTCTATGGGTCACAACTCACAACATCCACTTACAATCAGATGGACTGTGTGCTTGTTTGTCAACATTATTCTATAAAAAAAAAAAAAAACTTTCTCGAAATTAAAGATTGAAATTAGAATTGACGATTTTTTGTTCAGATCCTACAGAAAGTGGTCATCGCTGACAGACCATTCCATATCTGCGAATTACCTGTTGTTGTGAACATCAATTTATGTCCATCAATACTCACGTTCAAAAATACTTTCTCCGGCTTCAACGTGCCATGTTACCATTCCTGCTCAGTCAAAGAATATGAGGCTAAAGAAAAGAATTGCGAAAACTATCACGGTGTAAAAGGCGGAGCTGTTATAAACACCAATACGAACAAATTACTGGGTGTTGCCACATGGGGAGCAATCAGTACGAATCCATTGCCAGTTGGTTTCGCGGTGCCTAATTCGGCGAATTTTTTCAAGAATTACCAGTGCGCACAACGTATTAGAGATGATCAAGAAATTTCTGTAACTGCTGGATATTATCAAAGTCTTTGTGACGAATAAAGCGTCTCCCACACACAAGCGGCTTGTGGTGGCGGCCAGTTGTATTCGCTTGCAATGCAAGCGAATCTGCAAACACTGGCTGACCGGAGCCGCAAGCCGCGCCCCCTCCACCACCGCGTGTGTGTTAGCGAGCGTGTGGCCTATCTAAATACAGATATTTAATTAGAAACTGCAAAATTATTCAATACTTTATGATACTTCACACCGTGATTGCAAAAATATTAGTATTAAAAACAAAATATCGGATAATATTGCTGAATATAATAAGAGTAATTAGAGTTCGTCACGTTTAACCATGTTGACTGACGTCCAATCGCAGCACAGATACCACAGCGAATGGCGCTTCAGGCCGCCACTGCGACTGCGGTGGTGTGTTGTTGCAGCGGCTGGAGCCGCGGCTCGCGGTTAGCCGCCACCGTAAGCCGCTTGTATGTGGGAGACGCGTAAAATACCTTTAGTGTAATGATTTTTAAAAAGATAAACATTATCATCCCTAGATGGTAAACCCACGCTGCAGTTATATTAGCACGTTATAGACACATTAGGGTCGGCTCGACCGGGGGAAACTACGCTCTCACAGAATACCAGCGTAAAATAGCAGCTTAATGCTGCTGTTTAGTATGGTAAGAACCGGAGACCCTTTTACTGGAAACGAGGAATTCCATCTTAGTCCTTAGGGGTGAAATCGCATCTGTATTTTGACTAGTCTCTTTTTTTTCAATACCTAACATTATGCGAGTGGTTGCCGCAATCCAAGAAGTACTTACAGCAAATATGTATAGACGGGATGAATGATGAATTTATCATTGCTCAGAATTATTTAGATAATACTGTTAGGATGGTCTATTGGTTGTAGATAATAATTGTAGAATACATCGAGTACAATACAAAAACAACAATCTATACATATAATAAAACTGTAAATAGCAGATGTCTGTACATTTAATATTTTTGTAATAAAAGTGATTGAGGGGTACTAAAAATAAGTAATTAAATACATTTCTACCATTTTTAGAATTTTCTGTCTGTCTGTCTGTCTGTCTGTCTGTCTGTTTGTTTGTTAACGTATCACGTATAAAGTACTAATTTATATCACAAGAATTGTTAAGGAAATTATAAAGTGTATCTTCGGGTTACATTTAGTCTTTATTTCATTAAAATCAGTTCATTCCATCAAAAGTTATGATAAATATTCTGAAGTATGGGTAGGGAAGTATAGGTACGAATTGCTCAACGGTGGCTTTGTTTGAGTCATCAAGTGCATTTTAAACTAATATCATATCATAAATCATAGTTAAATTATGTAAAATAATGATGTAATTATGTATATCTAAAACGCAGTAAACAAAAGTAATAAAGAACGCATTAAATATATTATACAAAAATATATTAACGTTATTAACTAAATCTGAAGCACAATAGTTAACCCATTTCTTCGATAGATGGTGGTGTTGTGAAAATGCAATGCAATGTTTTATTAAAATTGGTTAATTCTATCGAAAGTAATGATTATTATTTTGAAATGTAGGTTCGAATTTGTTCAATGGCGCCATAAAATCTCAGAAATAGTAATAAAAAGATTTCTGTGTAAAAAAAACGTTCCATAATAATTAATATATTTATACTTAAAACACAAAAAGAGATAGGATGTTTTCTCACACAAAGGACGTAATAGATGGAGTTGTACAAATTACAAACTTTTCTGAATTGCTGTGTTAAGATTTTTCGCCGATGTATCGTATCGTAGATGACGCCTTGACACATATGAGTATTGGTACTGTATAGTTTGTAATATGTAGTATATTGTAATTTGTATTGTATAGCCAATATTATTTGTAAATTATGTGTTTCTTTTTTATGTTATATGTGATGGCGTCATTTTGGAGAATAAACCTTTCTTTCTTTCTTTCTTTCTATTGAGACTTACTGAAGAAATTTGTATCCATCGAAGCCATACAACGGAACCCGACCAAAAATAAAAATTTCGCAACGAAATGTCGTGATATTGTATTTATAATATACGCAAAATCAGAACTGCCATTTTAGCGCTTTGGGAACTAGATTTAGCACTTTTTTGGAATGTATAGCGCGCATTTCGAAATTTTAGCACCTAGCGCTTAATCCAGCGCTTTTTGGTGTATTTAGCACACATTTCAATATTTTAGCGACTAGCGGGTTATTAACTCTTTTATAGCAGCACTGTTAGTCCACATTACCGATAATAATAATAATGACCTTTATTATTTTTTCCCACAAATAGTACATTGCAGTTTATCTTTTTCAAACATATTTTTTCCACAAAACAAAGAGCATGGGAGACGAGTCCAAACTAGGATACCCTGTGCTATGGATCTCCTGGCTTCCCCTTTAGGATGATCAACTTGATTTTTTTACCGACGACTATAAGCGGGGAAATCCCCTTTATTAAAGTTTTCGTTCATGGTTTTGGCAACGCATTTATTTTGCTTTATTCAGTTTCAGTCAGTTGCTTAGAGCACAGCTAAGTTAAAAGTTACTTAGAAGTTATAACACAAAGAAACTGTGTAGCAACCGCAATCAGATGCTGACATCTGAAACTAAGTTGCGAAATACATTGCACTTTAAAACAATTAATGACATTTTTATTGTTCGTACAGTACTAACTACTGTTGACAGCAATTGCTATAATTATAAGTCGATGTCGTGCGAAGTATTGATACATCAAAAAAATATTGCCAGAAAAAAAACTTAATGTTGTTTTCTTTATTATGATTATATAAAAATACACAAACTTTCAAACTTTGTTTGTAGTTAATTTAGCGCGAAATCTAGGGCTTTTTTAAAGCGCTGTTTTCATGAAATCTAGCGCTTTTTGTGTTGTCCTAGAGCTGAATGAGTTTTTTTTATCTGGCAGCACTGCCCAAAAACCCTCTATTAAGAAGTAACTTTCCTTTCAGTTTTAAGCGCGTTCAGTTCCCAGTTACAGTGAGTTTATGTTATGCGATGACCGTAAATAAAGCACAAGGTCAAACTTTACGCGTTGTAGGAGTGTACCTCAGTACCTACTGACTGTTTTGCACATGGCCAACTCTATGTTGCTTTTTCCCGCGTTAGTAGCCCCCATAACCTTTTTGTGTACACCCCGGCTAAGCCTACTTCTAACGTCGTTTACACAGAAGCTCTATCATAAACGACTTAGAACTTTGATGATAATGATTTATTTAGTTACCACTTATTGATACAGTAATGAAATAAATCGTTTAATATTCTCTTACCTAAACGACAAATTCTTTATGTAAAACCTGTATACGCGAGCTACGCCGCGGGCACAGCTAGTTGTTAATAAACTTAATTTATTTTTCACTTAAAGTACTTATTTATACATTACAAAAACATTAATTTATTTTAAGAATCGTCAACGTTAAAATTAAACTTAAAATCAGTAGAAGAAAAAGTAAATTTAAACTTTTTTTCCTCATTTTCTTTTGTTTCACTTTTATTATCTTTGAATGTTTCTTTATTAACACAAGAAGACCTGACGTCTGACATCAACGACACATCTAAAACTTCAGTATTGTCATTTTTAATTACTGTATTGCTGCCAGTGTTACTGTTATCGTTTGTTTCTGGAGGAATATTAAAATTGAATCTAAATGAACTATCACCTGTAGTCAGAAATGCAGATTTTCTCAGAAATGTGGCTTTTGGTTGTGCAGGGCTCTCTGATATTTTCATTTTACTTGCCACTGTAAAGTAAAATGTGCATTTAATATTAAAATTACTCTATCATTTTGAAATTAGTTGTGAAGTTGAGATGAAAATTATAATGGAATATTACATACACATAGCCGTATGTGTGGGAATGAGAGCATATGTGAGTGCACTGTGTATTTTTGTATGTAATCTGTTATTTTTACAAGCTCCAGGTAAATAATCATTGCTTAATGCTACTTTACAATGTTACAATACTGATTATCGGACTTTCACCTCTGAATAAATTGTGTGTGCAATAAACAGATATTTTATTTTATATAGTAAATTTCAATTTCGTTGTTGTTATTGTGATTTGCACAAGTACACATATTTGTTAAGCCTAAGCTGGCTATCTCCGTAATAGGAGTTTGAGTTCCAGCCAATTGCATTTTTATTTAAAAAAAAGGAGAGGTGAGTTTATATACATAATTTGGACAAGGACAAACATCTAAACTCACAACAATTATTTGTAGGCCATACAAATACTTGCTCTGTGCGGGATTTAAACCCGTAGCCCTCAGCTAAATGCTAAGTCACTGCACCACAGAGCCGTCATTTTCTACATTTAACGTTCATACTCTTCTTTTTATAACATTTATGGAAATATTTAGATGTTACACTTTCTCTTCGCTGAGCGTTTATTAAACTTTAGTAGGTAATAATACTTATTATAAAAAAAAATCCAATGAGCTGTTTAACGACGTAACTGATTTCTAAGCCTAAATTTCAGGAAAATTTGTCCATGCATTCAAACATAACTTCTCATTTATAATCTTAGTAAGATAAAGGTCCAAATTAAATATTCTTTTTTAGTTGCTTATCTATAAAGTACTGTTACGATTGTAAAAAGAAAAGTGAAGACTTAGATGACTTTGTGACGTACAATATATATTATGTTATTGTAGTATATATTATAAAGTTTCTAATAACATAAATTATAACATGAAAAATATGTGTTATATTCTTTATGCTATAATTTATGTTATTAGACATATTATATTTGGTTTTCCTTATATCTTCATCACGCAACAAAATAATAAAAAGAAATGCAAAATACAGAGCTTCCATTTGTTTATTTAATTTTTGCAATTAGGCTAAGAATCATTATCAGTATTGATTCAACAGGGTAAACAACTATTAATTCTTCTAGAAATAAAATATAACATTCTCTAACTATAAAGTAAATTAATCAATCAAATTCAAAAAATTTGAACATATTATCATATTCATTAGCTAAGTTTAAAAAATTGCTAAATGAGCTTGTATTTTTATCAACCAGTCCTTTTTTGTGACACAAAATGGTAACATTAATTTTACAGAATGTTAAATACAGCCTTTCTTTAATTTAAAATAATTACAGTTATCTGTATTTTTTTAAATACTTATGTACTACAAATATTAAGTGTTAACATGTACAAACATACTTTTTGCTAATTTTTTTTCTTCTGCTGCCATTTTCGCCCTGTAGTCACCAAAATGTGTTCTCATTAATTGTCTCTTTCTAATTATGGGTTGATTATTATTTTTCAGTACAGTTAACACCTTCCATGCTTCTTGCACTGAAAGCAAAATAAAAATGTACTCAATTCATTAATGGTTTTGCCATATCTTAACCTAATAACTATTAGTTACACACCAGTAAGCTGCCGTGTAGTGGCGGTTAAGAATATCCACTACCCCATATCTTCCCGTGGGTGTCGTAAAAGGCGACAAAGGGAAACAGGCAGGAGATGGGCAGCAGCATCTTCCTGGTAACGACAAAATACAATAAAAAACTGCGGTTGCCAACCCGCTCGCCAAGCGTGGCAACTATGGCAATATACCCCCCATAATGAAGGTTACGAAGAGACGGCCCCCAGTCCCCGGCGGCCCCGCTATTCCTGGCTACGGTGGCGACCATGGTAACGGCGGGGCAGGGGGTGCTAAGAATCTCCGGTGGAGGTTCGGTTGCCACCTACAACGACTCGACCTGGCAACATACAACGCACGCACCCTGAGGACTGACGAGAAGATTGTGGAGCTGGAAGAAGAGATAGACAAGTTACGCTGGCATATTATAGGATTATCCGAAGTCCGAAGAGAGGGGGAGGACACGGTAATCCTTGAATCCGGCAACTTGCTCTATCACCGGGAGGGCGACCATCTGTCCCAAGGAGGTGTCGGATTTATCGTCCACAAGTCTCTCGTTAACAACGTTGTAAAGATTGAGAGTGTGTCGACGAGGGTTGCGTACCTTATACTCAGAATCACCAAACGGTATTCGCTGAAGGTCATACAGGTTTACGCACCAACCTCGGCACACCCCGATCAGGAGGTGGAGGAAATGTATGAGGATATCTCTAGAGCCATGCATTCCTCCAAAACCCAATATACGGTGTTAATGGGAGACTTCAATGCAAAACTAGGCACAAGAGAGAACGGTGAGCTGAAAGTGGGGAAATTTGGAATAGGGCAACGGAACCCAAGGGGCCAGCAGTTGGCCGACTTCATGGAGAAAGAGGGACTCTTTATGATGAACTCTTTCTTCCAGAAGCGGCCCCACAGGAAGTGGACCTGGTCGAGCCCCGACGGTTCGACAAAAAATGAGATTGACTTCATTATGACGACCAGACGACAACTGTTCAGTGATGTCTCAGTGATCGCGAGGGTGAAAACCGGCAGCGATCACCGAATGGTTAGAGGCACACTGAACCTAAACGTTAAGTTGGAGAGGTCTCGTCTAATGAAGTCAACGCTCCGTCCCCCTCGTGCTCTAATCCAAAGTCCCGAAACCTTTCAGCTCGAGTTGCAAAACCGTTTTCAGTGCCTAGAAGACTGCAATGAAGTGGACGATTTGAATGACAAGCTCGTGGAAACTGTCCATGCGGTCGGAGCTAAGTTCTGCAAGACCCGCCGCAGAAGAACACAAAAACTCTCCGATCACACTCTTAATCTCATGGCTGTTAGACGGGAGATGAAGCTACATTCTTCAACAGATTTGACAGCATACAGGCAACTGAACAGACAGATCTCCAAATGCATGCGGCGGGACTTACGCAACTTCAATACAGCTCGTATTGAAGAAGCGATCGAGCGGAACCAAGGCTCCAAAGTCTTTGCCAGAGATCTGTCTGCCAGAAAGAGCCAACTGTCAAAGCTGAAGACCGAATGTGGCAGCATCGTTTCCGGGGCACCTGAGATTTTGAGTGAGATTGAGAGGTTCTATGGGCAGCTGTACACGTCATCGTTGGAGCCACACGCAAGTGTGAGTAACGATCCAAGAGCGAGTCTTATCCGACATTATTCCGATGATATCCCGGACGTCAGTCTGAGCGAGATTAGAATGGCTCTCCAGCACCTTAAAAACGGCAAGGCCCCAGGCCAGGATGGAATTACAGCGGAGCTTCTGAAAGCGGGTGGAAAACCGGTACTTGAAGTCCTTCAGAAGCTCTTTAATTCCGTCCTCCATGGTGGCATTACACCGGAGGCGTGGAGCAGAAGTGCGGTGGTCTTGTTCTTCAAGAAAGGCGACAACGCTCTCTTGAAGAACTACAGACCGATTTCCCTTCTGAGCCGCGTCTACGTGCTGTTTTCGAGAGTCATTACGAATCGTCTCGCGCGCAGACTTGACGACTTCCAGCCTCCCGAACAAGCCGGTTTCCGAAAAGGCTTTAGCACCTTAGACCACATACATACCCTTCGGCAAATTGTACAGAAGTCCGAGGAGTACAATTTGCCACTATGTCTGGCGTATGTGGACTATGAGAAAGCCTTTGATTCCGTCGAAATTTGGGCGGTGCTGCAGTCCCTTCAGCGATGCCAAGTTGACTGTCGGTATATCGAAGTGTTGAAGTGCTTGTACAGTAGGGCTACGATGGCTATCCGAGTACAGAACCAGAGTACGAAACCTATCCAATTGCAGAGAGGTGTAAGACAGGGTGACGTCATATCCCCGAAACTCTTCACCGCTGCATTGGAAGATGTTTTCAAGCTTCTGGACTGGAAAGGATACGGTATCAACATCAATGGCGAGTACATCACTCACCTTCGATTTGCCGACGATATAGTCCTTATGGCAGAATCGCTGGAGGACCTAAGCACTATGCTCAATGACCTCAATAGTGTTTCCCAACGGATAGGTCTTAAGATGAACATGGACAAAACAAAGATCATGTTTAATGTCCATGTCACACCTATGCCGGTAGTTGTTGGGAACACTAAGCTCGAAGTTGTTGACGAGTATGTTTACCTGGGACAAATAGTCCGACTAGGTAAGTCCAACTTCGACCGAGAGGTCAATCGACGGATTCAACTCGGTTGGGCAGCGTTCGGGAAATTACGGCACATCTTCTCGTCAGGTATACCTCAAAACTTGAAAACGAGACTGTACACCCAGTGCGTGTTGCCAGTGATGACATACGGAACTGAGACGTGGTCCTTCACTGCTGGCCGGATGAGGAAGCTCAAGGTCGCTCAGCGAGCTATGGAGAGGGCTATGCTCGGAGTTTCTCTGCGTGATAAACTCAGAAATGAGGATATCCGCAGTAGAACCAGAGTGACCGACATAGCCCAACGGATTAGTAAGCTGAAGTGGCAATGGGCCGGCCATATAGCTCGAAGAACCGACAACCGATGGGGAAGAAAGGTTCTCGAGTGGCAGCCTCGTACCGGCAGGCGAAGTGTAGGGCGTCCCCCCACTAGATGGAGTGACGACCTGGTAAGATTTGCAGGAAGTCGATGGATGCAGGTGGCTCGGGACCGTGCTTTGTGGCATTCTTTGGGGGAGGCCTATGTTCAGCAGTGGACTTGTGAAGGGCTGTAATGATGATGATGATGATGAAGCTATAAGGGCAGAGGGGCCGTGGTACAAAAAAGATTGTGAGCTCAGTGGATATTTTACGTCTTTACCTATGAAACTGCCATTTTTTATGAAATAATGTAATTTTTTTCTATATTTTTTATTTCTATTATTCAAAGTAATCACTCATGCAATTGATGAATCTTTGCCAACGCAGTGGCAATTTATTGATGCCCTTCTTGAAGAAATCAGCTGGACGGGAGGTAACAAATTCTTCCAAGGCATTTTGTACTGTCTCTCGGTTATTGAATTTTTTCCCCGCTAAAATGTTATCCAACTTCTGGAAAAAGTAGAAGTCTATAGGCGCAAGGTCTGGTGACTACGGCGGATGACGGGAGCTTCCAACCTCAGTTCTTATAACTTGGAGACCGTCCCTTGTGCAGTATGAGGTCACGCGTTGCCGTACAGGAGCAGCGGGGACAAGCGATTGACCAAAGCTGGTTGGAGACGAGCTTCTCCATCATTGTGTTCAGTTTTTCACAGTACACATATGCAGTACTGCTCATACCGTAAGAAGCTGTGATGAATCACACCGGCGCTAGACCACCAAACAGTGACCATCACTTTTCTAGGTGTAAGTTTTTATTTAGGGCATTGTTTAGGTGCTAAACTAGGATCCCACCAACTTATGCTTGCGATTGTCAAACAGAATCCATTTTTGTCGCAGACAACAATGGTTTCTTCGTTTGTGTACCTGTTAAGCAGTGCAAGGCACGTCTCGACGCATACTTCGCGTTGGTTGAGTTCATTGGGCACCAATTTGTCAAGCTTTTTTACCTTGCCAATTTTATGCAATTGGACCAATATTGTTTTGATGCTAATGTCGAAAGCTGCTACTAATTCAACCGTACATTGAGTATCATCAGCTTCAACAATCATCTTTAATTCGTCATTGTCGACCAAAGTTTTTGGACAACGTCAATTTCATAGCATCTATTATTACACGCAAGCTGTAAAATTCTTGTGAATTGAGTTTGATAGGTGCCAGTACTACTGAAATTGTTCATTGTAATTTAAGGAGTTGATTTACTACACAGTTACTGAGGAAACTTGCAAGTGAGAAAATTAAAAATCATTTTGAGAATATGTGCAGCAAATTGCAATAGAAAACTGTTTTTGTAAAATAAATAACAGCCTATCAATAGCTCACTAATGAGCACAAGCCTTTTCAGCAGATGTAATATCTTGTAACATTTTACCATTAAAAACATTACACTTGGATTTTCACTTGTATTGTGGAGGTGTTACAAGTATAAATTATATATGGACAAACATTCAGACCCGAAACAATTATTTGTAGGTTAACATGGAAACACTGTTAAAGAAACAAATACTCGTTCCATGCGGAATTCAAATCCACATCATCGTTTAACAATTTTTAGAAATTTTTTTAATCAACTGTTAATCATCTCAAATTGTGTGTCAGAATAGGCATACATTGCTTGATGTAGTTTCAATTCTATCTTTCTACACAGAGTTAGCAGATCAATGAAGACCTAGCTGGGATGGAGAGATTGAATAGAGATTCTGCCATAAGTCATCAGAGCCTCATTTGCCAAATCAGCTAATGGAAATGCAAGCATAATTTTAATATTTCTATAAAAAGTTTGAATATTTCCTTTTACATGCTATGTTGAAGAATTAATAAGGTTGCAAGAATACTTGATCCTTTATTTCATATAATGAAGATCAATGGTATATAGTAATCTTCTTGATACATTATAGAATAGGCCACCATGAACTTATAAAGGTGTTTGTGATGCAAAAGAATAAGTATATATTTAAAGTAAACTGTGTCCCTTTTTTATTTTTATAGGATTGTTTACATAGACTTGAGAATTTGTCATGCTTCTAGCCACACTGATGAGTCACTTAGCCGCGGCGCCCACCTAAGCTAAATGATTTCGACATGGCTTGTAGCATGATTCTGACGATGTTCTGACGTGACCACGAGTGACACTGCTTGCACCAACCTGTGCAACAATAGCGTGTCACAGAATTTAGTTTGAGCCAAAATGTCGCCTGTAGAGAATAAACATGCCCTTGCTTTGCTACAGATTTCAAACATTCATAGTGCCAGCAGAAGATTTTGAGTACATCCCTAAGGGAAAAAATTTGAAAAGTGGTAGTACTTTCAATTTTATGAAGGAATTAGAATTACATTTTGCATAGATTTGCAGTTTGCACTACAAGTTGCAAGAAGCATCTTGCGAGTTCCTGTTACTGTAATCGGGTCTAGTATAATCCTATAAACATGGTCTTTCATGAACTAACTCAATTAATTTAATATTAAAAGCTAGGTCGCCTTTCATTTTGCATATAAAGTCACTACAAGTTTCGTGTTACGTGCCACTTCAATGCGTCACTAGTAGCAAGCTGAATGGCACGTCAGGTCATGTGGCGTCACGCCACGCGAATGGGCGCTACTGCATACAATCCCCTTGAATGTTGAGGCGAGAGACAAGTTACACGTCAAATCACGCGTCAGATCATGTGTTATGTTATGTAGGTGGGCGCCGCGCTTTAGGCATGTCATCTACTGGCACTTTCTTTGAGTATTTGCACAGATGCAACCCTAGTAGTCATAGTCCTACACCAGGAGCTCACTCTAAAATATAGTCATGTGGATCAGAAGGTGTCCTATTATTTACAAGTACTTGCCAGATGTGCTTGTAAATGACTGCACCAGACAATATTGGGCCTGGGTCATTATCACAAACAGGACTATTTATTCAAATAAACCTGACATTGTGTTGGTGGACAAGGTACAGGCAGGGATATTTTTCTTTAAGGCCAAAACAGATAACAAAACATCTGAACCTGGCTCATAAGGTGACTAACATATGGAGTGGTATGTCAAATGAAATTAATTCTTTAGTCGTTTCTGGAAACAACTTAATCCAGGTTAGCCTCCGACTACTGGGTGACCAGGATTCCGTGACAAGCTGCTCGTGGTTTAAATGCAGAGTTCCTTGATATCTCATTAACTTTCGCCAACTTATTCCCTTTCTCTCTAACCTTCGGCCGTTAAGTTTATCATGCCGATAGGTTAGGGTTTATCTATTTATTTAATTATATTTTGATATTTTATATACCCTATATTTTTATAAGTGTTAACGCAGACAAGAAAACAATAAAAATATGGATAAAAAATTGGTTATTTAGTTTAATATGCTACTACTACAGAAAGATATTAGATTTTGCTAAAAATATAGTTAGGTATATAAATTAGAGGTTTGGATCACAATAAACTTACACTGTTTTTCGTTGCCTTTTTTCTCGTTTAAGGAACGTTCTAACTGCTGTATACACCAACATAGCTGTAGTTGAAACTCTCTAGTAGTATCTTCAGAATCTCTATTATCTGAATTATCCTTGCCTATTTTATTTGCTTTCTGTATACTGGTAGGTTTCCCCTTACTATGTAATTTTACTGCTTTCGGCATTTCGAATATGCTATATATTATTTTATTTACTATATTACAGTCTACAAAAGTTTGTTTAAATAGTTGATGATAATACACGTTTTGTTTTGATTTTTGGCCAACCTTTGAAACCAACCTGCAAGCTTGACGCTATGATTTGACGTTAAGCATAGATAAGCTAAACTATAAACGTTCCATCCATAGATATAAGAAAAATATATCTATGAAACGTTCGAAGCTCGAGTCCACAGATAAGTCAGATTACTATTTTTTTAAGATTTTTTGCATGGATGCTTGTCTTTTAAGCCAAGTCTTTGTAGCTACACTTGATATCTCGTGAAACAGAAAAGTCAGCTGTGAAAAGAGCTATTCTATTATCAACATGGAGCATGATATTGTTCTTTAAGAATGTGTTTTTAAGTTATAAGTATGTACGTAATGTTATTAAATGATAATGACTAATATAATATCCAAAATTATTTTATTTTAATTTTCATGAAGACCACGAATGTTGGCATCGTTTGACAGCAAAGGTATTTCACAATTGTAAGGTATCGAAAGTGTGATATTTTGAACAATTTTATGAACAAAATTCCCTTTACTGTATGAGCATAGATCCCTTTGCTATTTTGTGAAAAAAATCACTTCAGACTAGGCTGTATGGACGTAGATCCCTTTGCTTTTAAATAAAAAAAGGATGTCAAATTTTTCTTGCGAAATTTTCGCATGAATTTCACAGAAAAAAGGAATGCCGCTCGGAAAATTCGGAAAGATAACACTTTCGTGGTAATTAAGCACATACACATTAAATATCTTAAATACATATTTAATCACCTGGTAATAATTACACTCAGTATCCCGTGTGGTGAGCCTAACCTATATTTTTATAAATTTTAGTTTATTTTTATTGAATATGAAATGTTTCTTCATGTGTAATATTTTTCAAATTAATATACGAATTCAGTAGTTCCATATCAGTTTGAATTTAAAGTAATAAAAATGAACTGCATTAATGAATATATAAGAATTTTTGGCTACCTATTAAGTGGTAGAAATGATTTATTTGTATTAAGTTACTTTTCGAAGACTAAATTTAACATTTGAAATAAATGGCACATTACTTATAAACAAATGAAATTAAAACATTATTTTTTCCAATTAAAACATAAATTTTTCTAAATAAAACATTAATCAAATTAAAGGAAAAAAATGTTGTACAAAATTAACTAATTTATTATTATTTATCTTCCTACCAAGAGCAAGACGGCATTTTTAATTAGTATTTTACTAATTTAACTACTACTATAGCCAAAAATATTCTCATGTAATGTGTATTATCTGTATACTAAATACTTATTCTTATAAACTAGTATTAAAATATTTAATAATAATTTTCAGGATAGCTGTAACAGTAACGAGCTTATCACTTTTTGTGGTGGCTAAAAACTATGTTAATGAAAGGCGTATTGAGAATATGAAAGCCCGTGAACGAATGCGCAAATCTAACGAAGGAGAGTACCCAGACCTGTATAGAAAGCTGTGAGGAAATTTTTTGTAAGATAATATCTTTTATAATTGCTTGTATTGTAATTTGTGACTAGAAATCTAGATGTTAGATCTAGATATTCAGGAGTTTAGATTTTAAATTCATTGTATTGTAGCTAAGGGAGTAAACCTGTTATATAATATTGAAATAGGCAACAAACCCTCAGAAAACAGTTAAACTCAATTTAATCATTTATTGGGCAATAATGTGAGATGCCTAAAATAGCCAAATGTTATGTTAAAAGATAAAAGCTTTTACAAAAATTTACTTCGCAAATATCCGCGTTATAAAATAAAATGATGTGCCTTACCTAGTATGAAGAAGTAAAAGAAGTCTTCTTCATACTAGGTAAGACACATCATTTTATTTTATAACGTGGATATTTGCAAAGTAAATTTTTGTAAAAGCTTTTATATAATGGATTTCCACAAAGTAACGCCTGATTCTATTAAATGTTATGTTGTTCGAGTAACACTATATGATTAGCTTTAAATTTGTGTGGTGTGTACATCGATCACTAATAAAAAAACTAGATGCACAATCCCATACAAAAGTTCTCTAAAAACTGTCGCCAAATGTTTTGACGTAATTCTAGTTGATATAAAAATACATTAATGTAAATTCAACCTTATGTGAAATGCCTAAAGTTGTATTGACAAAGCAACATACAAAAATCAATAAAATTTTACGACCGAGGCTCGTCGCTTAGACAAGGAGAGTGGAGTCGAACTGCACAATATTTTTTGTTACTGTAAATTTAATTTTACAATTTTTTTAAACATGTTTTAAGTAATTGGTCTAACAAAGCATATTCTATTCTATTCTATGGTGTATATATGTAATGGTTATATTATTACTTGAATGTAAATATGCTTTTGGATAGGGCACCACATTCATTTAGTAATGAAAGTAATTAAAACAGTCATAATTATTTATTTATTCTTTATCTTGTTTGATAAATTTAAAGATATTGCTTGACAAACAAGTTAAAACTAAATATAATAGTTACTAAATATAAAAAATAAGTACAGAAAGTTCTTGCAAAATCTAAGAATATTGTTGTCCAAATATTGACGTAACGTTCATGTTTACAGATGTTTAAAAAAAACGCATAAGACTGAATAATTATAATGATTTCTTATATTTACACGTTCACTCCACATTTAAATGAAACTAGTTATACGAATTTTATCGCGTATATTAACTTATTTTATATTCCCGACGTTTTGAGTACTATAATATTTAGACAAACAGTAAAGAACTCTAATTAAACAAAAAAAAACAATCATACTTTAATAATAAAAAAATAAAAAAACAATAGCATTTCCACAAATGAAACAGAATCAACGCATATACCTCGAACAATGACGACTTATTTTATTACGACTTAATTTAAAAAATACTTTTACGATGATTTCTTGACAAAATATCAGTATTTGCAATACAGTTATAACAATTAAATAATGTTAATATTAATACTTACCGAAAATATGAAATTCCATCCTTTTTTAGCGTCCTGGATGTTTCCTTTGATTTTTACACTTTTTAAACGAACACTGAGGCATGTTTACCGTTGTAGCATTTGAATGCTACTAGATTAAAAGTGCACCCATATGTTCGAGTGGGTGCACATTTGGTTATGCCATTTTTTGTCACTGATTGTGTATCTAGTTTTTTATTAGTGATCGATGGGTGTGCACATATAAATGAATTTTTTGCACAACATAATACTATATATTATAACTAACTATATATTATATACAGTTTTAAGTGGTTTTAGCTACAGTCAACTCATTGTACTATTACAATATTAAAGAAAAAGTTCTTATAATTAATATTTATCTATAATAATATAAACATAGCCCTTTATACACCTTTTGTATGAAGGTGAGTAAAAGGATAATAAATTATTAAATATCATTAAAGATACACATAAATTATCATACATAAACACTCACGGCTGTCCTCCAGAAGGGTAGGCAGAGACTATGGACTTCCATTTGGCACAATCCTGACACACCTCTCTCTCGTTTCCTCCACATCCATATACCAACGCATACACGTTCATCTGTTAAAGGTACTCTTGATTTGATCCATTTTCAATATATCGCCAATTTGGTCTATAAACTTTCGCCTAGGGCGTCCCTTCCTGACTCTGTCGTTCACAATATATTTGCTTTGTCACTCTTTCCTCATTCATTCTTTCTACATGACCAAACTTGCGTCCGTAGGCTTCGACCATATAAATTATCAATTTAAATTATACTAAATACTTTAAATTTCAGTGCCTTACATTACACAATAGCACAACACGCTCTTAACATTCATAATCAGTCTAACATTCATAAATATCTCAAGACAATCCTGTCAATGTAAAGTAATTAGTATATTTATTGGTAAACATATTTTTTATTTACTTTCCTTTCCTTGTGACAACATTGGTTCTTTTCCATGCCATTTGGCAAAAGACTCCCCATACCTATGCCACTCTTCTCTGTTTAAAGATTTATTCATACTTATTTAAAATAAATATGTAGTTCTTATTTTTTATCTACCTACCAGGATTAAGTGACCAGTGCCAGATGGCATTTACCTATTGATTATTAATTAATAACTAACTAAAAATTATTGATTGTGGGGTCCTGGATTCTAATCCTGGATCAGACTGATTTTCTGTTAAAAATTCTCAATAGCTGAGTAGTAGCTCTCAAATCATGTAAATGACTATTTTATTATTATATTGTAGTGGACTCTGATGTCATTTTTATTTTCATCTCCCCTGACACTAACTTTCGAATTTCGATTATTGAAATTAGCACAGGTAGATACACTATCACAGACATTATTATACAATATTGCTTTGGGAAAAATTCCACCGCTGCATGTCTAAGGCCCGTATTAATAAACGTTACTCAACGTCGAACTTAGTGCTTAATCATTTGATACACCCTCATTACGATATCAACATCTCAAGATTGTTGTTATTAATAAACACATAAAAACAGTATCTCAAAATGCTGTACTTAATGTGGTAAAGTAATAAATGACTTTCAATAAGAATTACTCATGTAATGTATATTGAATAAAAAAAATTATTCTATTCTAAAAAATTTAATTCTATTCTATTGTTCTGTAACTTGCACTCAAGTACACACACTTGAGAGTCAAGTTTCGTTTATTAATCAGTGTGGCACTCAGCTGATATCGTAAACCTAAACAGCATCTTGAGATATGTTTATTAATAAGATCATATCCTCAAGATTGTACTCAAGTGCGTGTACTTGAGCTGAGTTACGCTTATTAATATGGGCCTAAGACTCGAAATCAATTATTAGTTTTTTGCATCAATGCAAAAGAGAAAACCTATTTTGATTGTGTTATAAGACAAATGTAAATAAATATATAAATCGTCACCTATATTTTGAAAGCAGTAACAATATTTTTAAAATTTTAAAAATTTTCTATTACAGGTTTGTTAATATTGAACTCAATAAGTAAGTGTAAAAAAAAAGCAATAAAAAAATGGCTGTTCCACAATTAGACCCAGCAAAGTTGCAACTTGTTCAGGAGTTGGAGATTGAGATGATGTCAGACATGTACAACCGTTTGGTCAACTCATGTCATCGGAAATGCATACCATTGAAGTACCATGAGTCCGAACTAGGTTAGTTGTAAACTTACTTTACAGGCTCAACAGCTTAAAGTGTCTTGGCCTCCAACTCACTACTGGTCACGAACTTGTGCGGTTTTTCGTAAGTCGCTTGATTAACCGGTTCAGTGCGGGTGGCACGCCAGGCGTGCCATCGATTACTTTTGTGTGTGGCGTATGTCTTTTTAAAAATCGTTATAGCTCACTCAAATTGCTTTTTTGGAAGATTTATCCAGAACGATATATTCATTTTTTTGCAAGTAGTTCATGCTTGCAGCTTCGTTTCTGGATATTTTGAAAATTTGAAATTTTTAGGGGTTGCAACCTTTTTCTAACGTGTACATGGTACTATTAAATTATGTTTTGGAAAATAGCCTAATAAGTAACAAATAATAGCACTCATTGCGATCGCTCACAAACTCAAGTTGTAAATAAATTTCTGGAAAACAAGGCTACTGTTGAAAAAAAAAAACAATGCGTTTGTCTTATTGTTTAATTTTGCTTAAAATAGTTGAACTGCCGTCTTATTACTATCATATGGCCGAATAGATCTACGAAGTACCATGTGCTCTTGTGATAAGGTATAAGGTTTATTTGTGCTTGAAACAGTTCGAAACCTTTCATGCATAAAAAAGTTCGCTAATAAATAGTCTTTTGTCAATCCGCCGCCGTATAGTGCCGGTGTTTTTTTCCTTTTGAAACTATGTTTTGCTATTCTTACTAATTAGACATTTTCAGATCGACTTTACATTCGTATAACATTAAATAATATTTTACATTTGTAAATATCAATGAATCATAAACCTTATTTTTTCCAAATTAAGGTTCTTCATTGTTTGATATTTACAAATGTTATTATTAGATGAAAATTTAATTTAATAAAAACCAAGGTTTTCCAGGGTGATTTAACTGTACCTACTTATATGATTTTTTTATAAAACAAAAAATAGGAAAAAAGGTTTGTAATCTCTGCATTAAAAAGTCACTTACTCTCAATTTCAAAGAAAACACGTAAAAAAACACGTAGTTACCCACTATAAACAAGTATCCTTCCGTTTGTAACTTATGTTTGATGTCAACTAAACTTAATTATGTCTAAACAAGTGATACTTTTACACATGGCACTTGACACGCCAGGCGTGTCATAAAATATTTGTTACAGACTACACCTTGCACAGCTAAAAGTTGTGGAAAATCGGTGCCGCAACGAATCGGTTAATGTGCGTGTAGATCCGTGTTCACAAAATCGCGCCATTGGTCTGACCGAACGTTAACGTGACATTTGGGTAATAATAGGAACTTCTCTTTAATTGTCTGTGTCCAGGCCTCATACTCTAGTCCAGAATCTGATCACACATTCATTATTGAAGGATTAATACCACAAGACTATATGCATATAGTTCTTGACCATATAGATGCAGTGAAGAGATCACCTTAATGATCGTATATACAAGGTTTACACTTACCATCAGGTGGACTGTGTGTGCGTTTGTCACACTATCCTATAAAAAAATCATATATTTCATTGCATTGTTAAACGTTCTCTGTCAGCTGAGTTGGCTTTCACTTTTAGCACTCTATATCTTATGCACAGTTAAAAGCTTCCGACATTATCGGAAGGTGTCATTATGGTCACAGTTATCCGGAATAATATGTCATATATTTTACAATGTTATTTTTTCAGGAAAAGGTGAATCCGTGTGTTTAGACCGTTGTGTGGCGAAATATTTGGATGTTCATGAACGCATCGGTAAGAAGCTGTCAAATATGTCACAAGGAGAGTCAGAGGATCTCACGAAAATGAACCTACAAGACACCAAAAAATAGTTGTGGTAGTGCTAGGACGGAGCTTGCAGTGAATGATGAAATAATTTATGGCATGGCCATATATAACTTCATCTTATAAACGCTTATATGGTACAGTCTGTTAATGAATACAATTTGAGTATTGTGCATATTATAAAGAAGTTATTATTAAAAAAAAATATTTAAAACACTAAGAAAGTAGTATTCACTGCAAGAAACAGGTTATAATTTTTGTAATATGATTGGTTGCTACTGATGTAGATAAAATACAAAATAACGGGAATGGCATAAATACAGATAGTGTCGTTACATTAACGATTTTTTTGTATCTGTATTTAAGTAATTTTCCGCTAAAATGCATTTTAGTTTTGTTGTGTTAGTTTATGGGTGATTAGCTATATTAGTTTGCCATTGTTAAAAATAAAATTCACAAAATATATCATATTCTTTTATTTCATTTTCTAAACTTTCACTAGAACAACAGAGAAAGCAAACAACATCTACAGTCTAATCTAATCTATCTACATTTATAAGTTATTTGTTTTTTACTCTACATGGAACCAAATCAATTTGACCAAATCCATAGCTAGGGGTGTAACTTTTAATAAGGTGCCCTAGGACGAAAATGTTGGCGCAAAAGAACACAACGCCTTTCAACCATATCAACAAAAATACTTCCCTACATTTAAACTCTAGTAAATAGGCGTAAAACAGCCAAGCACCTTGTGCAGTAAACCAAATCATTGTCAATATCAAAGCGTGCGCAGGCTTAATTCTAAAACTGTGAACCACCAACGGTAATAGAGATAAAAACCAAATGAAATATTGTGACGTCATCACACTGTTAAACGCAACTAAAACAACGGCTTGACAGAACAAAGCGAATGGCATCGTTTCCGGCTCACAGCCGAACGACAAGCTTAGGACGAATAATATTATAAACTCGAAAATCTGAGATACTGTTTTCACCACATCGAAGATGAGTTGATCCATAGTTAGATAGGAATAATAGAAAAGGACGGAGAAATTGTGTCTTGTATCCTTTCTGAACAGATGGTAAATGTATGTTTCGAATAGAAATTCGTAACCGTACTTTAAATACATTATGTAAGTAAGCAGAAATAAAGTTGTAACACAGCTTAATGTTAATGTTATTTGCTTTTTGTTAGGCATTAACGCAATTATACCAGTTTTAAGGTGAGTGCTGCGAGAAATTTTGTATTCGCCCAGAGAAAGATACATTGGAAAACTGAACACTAGTGGATATAAACGTAAATGTATTGAAATACCTAATAGAATACCAGAAAAGACATATTTTAATAAACCTTTAATTATATTCGTCTGTAGAGAAAGTATTGACAGTACAATAAAAAAACAGGGAACTGAATCTGCGTTCCCTCTAGTAGAAATCCCGATACTTAAGGGATTGTAAAGCCAAAACAACGAACAATATTTAGCAACTTTAGAAGCAGTGTTTTTAGATTTCAATTGATATTCGACTAAAGTTTTAAGAGCAACTGTTATGAGAATATCGAATAGGGAAAACAGAATTTTTCCGTAGTGTACACTTAGAACTACATTAGGTATCAAAAGGTATGCAATAATTGGACTATATCTATATGTGTGTCGCATATACGGAGAACCGCCGCCAACAACATGCCTTGCAGCGTCCGTAAATACTTTATAATCTACATCAGTGTATGCAACGTCGTAATTTCTATCATGAAAGTCTCCATAGACAATCAGCGCAAGTCTAATAGCAATTCCGGCTATAAGATGGTAACTGAATGGCAAATTTACAACTGACATGAATCTCTCCATTTTTAAATTCTGGTTTTCATTTCCTTCGCAACGGATTGCAAGCAAGCACTAAATTCTTTGAACTCTTTAGCACAATCGTCCTTTTTAACGGAGTCTTCTTTAAACAGTACACACCGAGCATACAGTACGCTCTGTTTGGAGCACTTCGCGAATATAACTGGATATTTTGCTAAGCGTTCCCGCGCTTTTGCAACAGATTCCATAATTGACGTTTAGACTCTTTTTGCAAATGTCGTTGGTGGTTCTGTGAAATCGAACTCGTCACGTGGTCTTATGAACGTATCATACAATGGTTTAGAAAAAAATATCCCCAGCGCAAGTACAGTGAACGTCACTTGAAATGTCTTTGGATATCTAAAAATCCAACTTCGCTTTCCTAATGGCTGACTACGACGACGATTGTCCATAGTTCTCTGAAAATAAACAAAATCTATTTACATATATGTTCAATATTATTGGATGAACGGTCGTTTTAGAACTGGTTTGTGTAGCCTTTACTCGAACAATTAACATAATTATTATAGCACAGAACACGAACAACGAGGCAAGTTGGAACGAATTCAATAAATACCTAGTTCTTTAACATTAATATCCAAGTAACAGAGAGGAAGAAACATATATTGCACTTTTGTTACGGTGTTCACAAATGATTACAGAAAGTTTTTTTTTTATAGATGTGAAGGCGACGTAAGATCACAGTCCACCTGATGGTAATTAAATGATGTGGATCATAGACGCTGAAATTTGTCCTTGATTAAGAATCAAAATACAGATGTATTGACACCTCTGAGGATTAATATGGAATGCCTCAGTAAAGGGTCTCGTCACTTACAATATGAAACACAACAGCATTATGCTGCTATTTCACGCTGTTATTCTAGGCGAGCGTGATCTTACTCCGGTCGAGCCGACTATTAGTAGGACAACCATAATGAAGCTGCAGCGCGGCGCTACTATGTACAAATATTATTATATTATTTGAGCCGTGGTATCTCAGGATCTAAGCGCTCGCTGTAAATATCACAGTACGCAAGCAATCCGGGTTGGTTACCCGCCGGCACCAATGAAATTGTTAATTACTATTTTAAATACTGATTATTTCATATTTGAGATATTGATTTACTACGTACTCGGCGGTGAAGGAAAACATCGTTAGGAAACCTGTATATCTGAGAAATTAAAAAAAAATATCGAAGACATGATGTCCGCCGTCACACATTGGAAAAGCGCGGCGGAAATTTCCTCGCCCTAAAATCTTCTCTAGAAATGAGAGGAGGCCTGTGCCCAGCCCGGCTAGCATGGGCGGGGGACAAAAATTTTATCCCCCGATTATATCCACTGACAAGAGATAAAATTATTTTGTTATGTCAAACGGGGATATACTTCTCCCCGTTTGACATAACGAGTAGACATAATATATACCCGTCCGTAGCATGGAGCCAAATGAAAGATAAAAAAATATGCTTTTATGACATTTGAAAGGGACAATTTTATCCTAGTTCATTGGACGTGAGTTGAAGTTTATATTCATACAAAAACATCTAAGTCTAAGTCTATCTCCCAATTTATCTACTGTGGATATTATATCCACCGGTATGCCCATGCTCTGAGGGTGGATAAAACTAAGCGAGGGGATAAACATTTTCTCCTTTCCCCGGGGATAAAATTGTCCCCCGCCCATGCTAGCCGGGCAGGAGTGAAACGTATATACACTGTAACTTAATTCGCATGACAGTTTCGTGCCTACACAATAAGAATTATGGATAAATGAATATAAAAAGAAACGTTATTACAAGTGGTAAAATTATAAAATTCGTACAATTGACTTCAATTTAAATAAAATGAGAACACCATCAATGTAAAGTTAAGTAAAGTTGCAGCCTATTTGAGTCCCACTGCTGGGCACAGGCCTCCTCTAATTTCTGAGATGGTTTTAGGGCAAGGAAATGTACGCCGCGCTGACCCAATACGTGTTGGCGAGAACTTCACATGTCTTCGAAATATATTTTTTTTCCTTATTTCTCAGACATGCAGGTTTCCTCACGATGTTTTCCTTCACCGCCGAGCACGTGGTATATCAATCATCAATGTAGTCGAAGTCAATTAATTACGCATTATTAAGGATAACTCAGAAACTATTGGTCAGATCTTGATCAAATTTATATGAACCACACGAGAAACACCAGCTTTCAAATAAATATCGATATAAATAGATAGGTTTCAAATAAAATCATCAAAATCGGTTCACTAACAAAAAAGTTCTGAGGTAACATAAAATATACAGTCGAATTTTATAGGTTGAAAAACTTGGTGTAGTCACCAAGCTAACTAATGAATATCTAATGTGATGAGATATTGTTGATATCAGATCCTTTGCAACTTAGTCGCTAATTTTAGACACCGGTTTGAAATGTATCATATCAGTTTTTGAAGCAGTTCATCCGTTTTTCTACCGACTTCACAAAAAGGAGACGGTACTCAATTCGACTGTATGTTTTTTTATGTGTGTTACCTCATAACTTTATACTGGATGAACCGATTTCGATGATTCTTTTTTTTATTTGAAAGCTGGTGCTTCACATGTGGTTCAATATAAATTTGATCAAGATCTGACCAATAGTTTTGGAGTTACTCTTAATAATTTATATTGAAGTCGGTTGTACAAAATTTTAAATTATTATTGGAAGTCACAAGATTTTTATGTAATTTCACATATCAACCCGTGGGTGTCGTAAGAAGCGACCAAAGGGCAACAAATCAGGAGACGGGCAGCAGCGTCTTCCTTATAACGACTAAAAATAGAAACTGCGGTTGCTAACCCGCTTGCCAAGCGTGGCAACTATGGCAAATATCCCCCCTATGAGGCAATCTCTGAGGGAGGCCCATGTTCACTCACAGGGAGACTTATATAGCCTGTAATGGTAATGGTCACAAGTTTATTACATTATGTACGTTTTAACAGTGGTAGAGTCACGCGGCAGCTTTTGCTGTCGCATGGATGGGCCGGCTCGAACCGGGGTGGTACCACGACCTCACAGAAAACCAGCGTGAAGTAGAGGTTTACCTCTGCGTTTCGCTTGGTGAGTGCAGGTGGCCGGAGGCCCTTTTCACTGGAAATGAGGCATTCCATCTTAGTCCTCACGGGTGACAACGCATCTACATTTTGATTCGTAATGCAGGATAGATGTAGATGTCTATGGGCCGCTGCAACCACTTACCATCAGGTGGACTGTGTGCTCGTTTGTCAGCCTTATCGTATAAAAAAAAACCGGCGCGGCGAATGGAAAATAAAATATTTAAAATGGCAATAATTAAAAGACAAAACACTTCACGCAGCATTCAAAAGGCCTTTAAAAGGGTAAGAGAAAAATAAACGTGAACTGGATTTGCAGACTGGAAACGATACGATAACGTTTTACTATAACTCACCTAACTTTTATGTGGCCTGTCAGTGACAGGTGCAAATTCCCTCGGCTCTAGACGGTAACCCTCACACACCAACGATACTGACTTGAATTTCATGCAACACTGGCGCATCGCTTCAAAGACACGAGCGCAACGCACCTCTTGAAAACTATTCTCTGAAAAAAAATATTATTTAAATAAATTTAATTTTAAAAGATAATTAAAAGCCAGTACAATTATGTTTAAAAACACAATAGATGAAACCTGACACTAATAACTAATGCTTGTAATAAGTCGATTTCAGTCTACTGTTGGACACAGTGACACAGGCTTTGCGCCAAAAGACTTGCAATTTTTTATTTTAAATAATCAATACTCGTCTAAAGAACAAGCTGATTGGTGAATGGTATAAAATACCATTATTAGCGTGCTATTAAAACCAAGGCGATCGTTTATCTCCTTACAACAATTTTTATAGGCTAAGTAGCTTGGTGGTGGTGCGCGTTGCTGCCGCAGTAGGAAAAATTATAGAATTATCACATACATTACATTCATTAAAGTTATATATTATATAACTTTCAAATTTTGTGGTACGATACGCGCGCCGCCTACTGTAAATTAATTGTACTATGCCTATAACCTTCGCGCAAGTGGAAGTAAGTTGAGAATTTTTTACCGCAATCTGTCGAACGGTATGACAGCGCATAAAATCTATAATATAAAAATGAATCCCTGAATGTGTTGCTAAGCTCAAATCTAGAGAGCAGCTGGACCGATTTCGCTAATTCTATTTTTATAATATTCCTTGAAGTACGAAGATGGTTCTTACGGAGAGAAAAATTTTAAAAATTGCCTGAAAAAGTCTATAAACAACACTTTTCTATATTCCCGTACAAAAGATTCGTAACAATACTTAAATGTCAATTTGAACTTTAATACCATACCATAAAGTTTAATTGTTAGTGGAGGGGTTCCGGGAAGGCAAAACAATTGAGTGACGTTAGTATCGTATAAATATTAATGTCAATATTTATACACACTGGCAGATGCTTATGTTATAAGGAGTAATTTGGGCTGCTTTTATTTTAGGGTTCCGCGAAGAATAACTTAACGCGGGCGAAGTCGCGGGGCTCAGCTAGTTATTTTATATATATTAGACGTTACTTTTTCTTAAAACGAAGTGACAAACGAACTTCAGGCTACCCAATGGCACAGAATAAATAATGAGTTCTTTATCATCCTCATCTGAGGTTAGTCCTCAGTTGTCTCAGTTAGATGGAATGGCTCACAGCGTGCAATTATACCAGTTCTCAATATTCTTCAGATCGGAATACAGCAAAGCACTGCCACTTGGCGCCAGAAATAGGTAAGAGAGTAGTAGTGCTTACCCAGACTCACAGAAAAGCAGTACAACCTAGAATTAAATAAATATAAACATGCGTGAGTGTCGTGGAACACTGGGTTTGAATCGGTATTATATTATTGATTAACAAATACAAATAAAAGAATTACTAGCGTCTATTAAAATGAAGCGTCATTTAAAATAAAATAATATTTCTTTCGTGGCAAGATAAGAAAAAGTGCGAGGGAGATGGATATTATTTTTTTTTGTTTTTTTGTTTTTAAAAAAACGTTACCCCCACACTAGGATTTTTTCCTGTGTCGTGGAGGCAGTTTACAAACATAAATTGCACAAGGACAAACATCCAGACCCGGAACAATTATTTGTAGGCCATACAAATACTTGTTCCGTGCGGGATTCGAACCCGCTGCCCCCAGCGCAACAACTGATTGCTAAGCCACTGCGCCAGGGAGCCGTATTATTCCACCTCGCTTCCTTATAGCCGCTAAAGCTGTCTAAACTACGGTAGAAGGGTTGTGACGGGAAAATCTTACACTTTTTGTCGCCTAACCCCCATCCGCCAAATCCGTACCGTCCGATAAGGAGCATCGTTGCAATGTAAAATTACCCACTCTGATGTATTTTCTATTTATTATAAAATATCCTAATATATATTCACTGCTAGCTGATTATTCTCGTATTTTTTCTGCGTGATAGAATCCGAATTAAAACCTGAGCAACTTACCGATATAACGCGAAGAACCAACAACCGTTGGGAATGAAAATTCATTCTCGACGGGCAGCTACGTACCGATAAGCGATGTGTAGGACTGCCCTTGACTTATTATCGATTTTGTGCCTAACTAAAGAGAGTGACGACAAAATAAGACATGCAGGAAGTCGACGGATACAGGTGACTCAGAACTGTGTTTTTTGTGGCATTCCTTGGTGGAAGCCAAGTTCAGCAGCAGACTTGTGAAGGGCTGTAATGGTGATGATTATGATGATATATTTATTATTAGTCACAAATACTTAAAAATATATATCATATAACCATACGTTTAATAATCTATCTTTATATACATATATATGTATATAGAAGAATTATAATGCAGATGCTTTGTCATAACTGAGGACTAAGATGAAATGCCTCGTCACCACTAAAATTAACTAAGTAGGTATAATAATAAGTAAAAGCCGACTTCAAAGAATTTAAAAGAATAATTTCACAATCTGGAGTCGGCGCTAAGACATAAATGTATCAGTCTTCAGAATTTGAAATTATTTTCTTCTTCTCTACCGACTTCAAAGCGACGGATTCGACTATGTTTTTTTTTTCTTTTTTAATGTGTTACCTCATAACTTTTTTCTGGGTGAACCGATTTCGATGATACTTTTTTATATGAAAGCTGGTGCTTCTCATGTGGTCCCATATAAATTGATCAAGGTCTGACCAATAGTTTTTGAGTTATTCTAATTTATATTGAAGTCGGTTGTATAAAATTTTATATTATAAATTATTATTTCTTGAAGTCGGTTTCTATCAAAAGTTAATTTTCTTGACCTTTGAGTGGACTAAGAAATATTACAATCTCAATGTCGTCTAAATAGTTATATTAAAATCTCCACCCACATTTTGCTATCTTTAGGGGTATATTTTTTTCCAAATTTACCACTAAAATCATATAATCTTTATAAATAAAAATTACGTATCACATTGTTTGTACGCGATGAACTCCTAAACTACTGAACTGATTTCAATGAAATTTTGCACACTGTGTGCAGTTTGGTCCAACTTGAGAGATAGGATAGTTTTTATCCCGATAAGTGACCCTAAATTTTTTTTCCAGTTTTTTTAGGAAAGTAAATGATCGTCGGAAAGGGCAGGGCAACGTTTGCCTGGCCAGCTAGTATATATATATATATATATATATATATATATTATAACCTATTTAATAAAAAGAGAATCCTCGAAGTCGAGTCACAATTGACGAAGATATCGCGCAACATTTACATAAGAAATACCGCCGAATTAAGAGCCTTCTACTTTGTTTTAAGTTGGCTAAGCTGGGATCTGGATCTCATCATTAATCGTATGAAACATAGAAGCATTAAGTATACTGCTATTTCACGCTGGTGTACGAGCGTAGTCCTTCCCCTGTCGAGGCGAACCGCTCGTGCTGCTGACGTAAAAATCTAAGTTCTATTACGCCGGTCATTTATTAATTCATTCAGCCTATCAAAAGTCCACTGCTGAAAATAGGTCGCCCTTATAAATTGCGTTGTAGGGCCATAATTGTCATAGATAGGGCATCTCTGGTCCGGCAACTACATTTATTTTTTATTTTTTGCGTTGTTATCATTAGCAAGATGCTGCTGCCCATCTCCCGTTTTAATTCCCTGTGTCTCCTCTTACAATAGTGGATTTTCTTACACTGCCCAGTGTGATTTTTTAAGAGTTGTATGCATGTACGATAGAAACATAAAAATCGTACGCAATTCATACGACTTTTCACGTTTTCTAACAATGCTTTATCAGAATCATACAGAAACAAAGTAAATAGTACTTTGTTCCATCTAATGAAAATTGTGCCTCGGATTGTAAGTGAAGAAATAATGCAAAATGTGGACGATGAGTGGAGAAGATTACCAAGTTGATATGACTCACTCGCCAGACGAATTTTGGGCAGAAATATGTGCGTTAGATGACTTTCAGAATATAGCAAAATTTGCTCTCGATTTGTTATGCCTTCCTCACTCTAATGCGGATTGTGAACGGTGCTTCAGTTCAATACGAAAATCCGAAATAGGCTCAGTATTGAGTGTGTAAACGGCACGCTATTAGCCAAACAACTTATTGGTTGTTGTGTTGATTTTGCTCCATCAAGAGAAATGTTAAATAATATGAACAGTAAGATTTTATATGGAGATAAGGACTAATAATGTTGTGTTTTTAATTCTCAATTTTTGTATAATTTAAATAAAACAAAGTTTTGAAAAACGTACTATTTTTTTTTATATAGAATAAGGGTGACAAACGAGCACGCAGTCCACCTGATGGTAAGTGGTTGCTGTGGCCCATAGACATCTACATCTATCTTCGTTTGCGAATCAAAATGCAGATGCGTTGTCACCCGTGAGGACTAAGATGAAATGCCTCCTTTCCAGTAAAATGGGTCTCCGGTTCTGTACACTCACCATACGAAACACAGCAGCATTAAGCTGCTATTTTACGCTGGTATTCTGTGAGAGCGTGGTCCTTCCCCGGTCGAGCCGACCCATTCGTGCTACAACTATACTACTAATATAGCTGCAGCATGGCTCTACCACGAGGCAAAAATTTAATGACCTTCTTAGGGAATACAACTTGTTATTTACCCATCGTATGTAAACGTAACCTAATTTAATCTTTTTCGTAACGCAGTGTTCCCGCCTAAGTAAATGTTCGACTAAATGGGATTTAAATTTTAAGATTTATATAAAATAAAAAATAAAATTAAGGCATATTAGTTGTATAAAAATGTTTAATTATAAGAATTATATCTCCTGTTATCACTTCATAGATGTTTATTTAAACTATATTATATTATATAGTTCATCATCATCATTACAGCCCTTCAAAAGTCCACTGCTGAACATAGGCCTCCCCCAAAGAATGCCACAAAGCACGGTCCTGAGCCACCTGCATCCATCGACTTCCTGCATGTCTAACCAGGTCGTCACTCCATCTCGTGGGGGGACGCCCTACACTTCGCCTACCGGTACGAGGCTGCCACTCGAGAACCTTTCTTCCCCATCGGTTGTCGGTTCTTCGAGCTATATGGCCGGCCCATT